GAACAAGGCGGCTGTAGGGATGGGTTTAAAGTCTACTTAAAATCTTTTATATCGAGATACCCAATTCCCATCTAATGTAATATTAGATGCTGAATTCAATGTGGAAAGCTTGATATTTGAATATTGGAGCACATTATAATCATCATCCCAAGGTATGTGTTCAGTACTGCGAGTTAAGGAGGTTGAAATTTTATTTCTTAATAGTTCTTTGAAAAATTGTATTTGCAGGTGCAAGAAAAAAATAACTACCTCTATAAGCATGAAGTTTAGCTGGTTCAAGAAGTTGGGACTTGAATTTGATATGCTTATTGAAGGATGGGACACAAGCTAGTAGAATATAGTGTCAAGTTAGAAATTATGAGAATGTAAACTGGTGTATGTATTATCTTCATGTATTCACTTTGAATAGAAAGGGTTCAATCCTTAGTGACACCCTGATATTCAGATATTTGGATTGAGTAATATACTAATGTGAAATTCAATCGTCACGACATTTCATTTATGCATTAGTTTGTTGTTGTTTATGTTTTGCTTTAAGTTTAATCAGGATTACACTTGAATGGGGAGGTTTGTTGGTGATTTAATATCATCAATGTTATTTAAGTGTAATAAGATTAAACGAACGGGGGTCCGGGGGCAGCGCCCCTGGGAGCGGGGTCTAAGGGGCGGCAGCCCCTGACAGGGTCCAAGGGGCAGATCCCCTGGCTGGGGTCGAGCTGCATCAAAAATCTGATTTTTTTTTATAGAAAATTGACCCTTTTCCCTGAGATCCGTTTTATGACAGGTTTGGTAGTTTTGATGACAGTTTATAACTGTCTAGTGACAGTTTTCAGACAGGAATCATATAGCCGTTTTTGGTCATTTTCTGGTACACTTCTTGAAGAACATTTTTCACATACATTCTCTGATTTCGTATCTCTGAATTTCATTCAATTGAGTGTTCGATCTGTATTATCGAAATACTTCAATTTGATAGTGAATCACGACTTTCAGAGAATCCAAGCAATCTGTTCATCCCCTATTTCTAATAAGATTCACGTCCGTTTCTCGTCCAACCACTTTTGGATTCAGTATGAAACTAAAAATATATACACACATCTATATATATGTAGCATTCACCAATTTCAAATCAAATTAATACCTAAAAACAAAAAACGGAGAAACTGAGTTGTAGATAGTTAACAACTTGAGACCTTGTGATGCATCTAACGACGTTCCCTTCCTTCTTCGTCCCCTGCAAAACACGAGTAAAATCGCAACATAAAGACCGTGGTATTTAACATTAGGAGTAGATCTGTTTAAATCAGCCACATTGGGGTGGGAGGTGTCCTGAATCGGTGATGATAGGGTTGGGGGAGGCCTAATCGATGTTGGGGTGGGGGTGTTAAATAAAATTAGGTTAAGAATATAGCTATTTGGGAGGGAGACATCGGGGGGGGGGGGGGGGGGGGGGGGAGAACGAAAATGGCAAGCGGGAATTTACAATAGCGATCGACCTAGGGTTTATTTTTTAGAAGAAATTAACGAGGGATTACTACTGTGGCTAATCCCTATTCCCTCGTTGGACCGTTGCTAATCCCTCACTAAAAGCAGAGTTTTATTATTTATCAGTTAATATACGTTCCGTCGCTGATATAGCTAGGGATTTAATCCGATGCTGATTCCGTCGCTGAAAATCCAAATTCTAGTAGTGTTTTAGAGGCTAGTTAAGGCTCACCTCTTGGAGCATGAGAGTTATATTGTTTATGGAAGACATAAACAATTAGATGCATGAGAGTGATATTATATGCGAAAAGTTTGTAAAGAAAATCAAATTATTAATATGTTTCAAAATATATAATTATTTTATACTACTGATACTCTATATTATAATATGAATATGTCAAGTTAAAAATCTAATGTTTATATAGTAGTTTATTTGTAAATCTCTAAATTCGTCAATTATCAATATTTTGCAAGATATTAATAATTATTGTAATATTCCACAAGGCATATACTTTTGTTTCGAAGTTTTGATGTATTTATTTATTGATATTTTTATTAGATATTTGTGAAATAGAAAAAGTTTAAATGATATAAGAAGCTACATAAATATTTGGATTTCTTTTCATTCCGCCACCCTTTGATACGTCTCTTTTAATGCCCATCCCATGCTACTCAATGTCGAGAATCATGGTGGGTATATGTTTCTAGTTGGGAAAATGACACAAATGCCCTATGAACTTTTTAGGGTTTACCTGTTGAGTCCCTAAAGTTTTTCCCGGACTTGATGGGCCCCTAAACTAGGATATAACATGCTCTTTTAGTCCCTGTCAACCTGTAATAGCCGGTTCAGTGATCTTTTAGACAAAAAAAACTCATATTGTGCCTCTATAAAGCCAAAAATATAAGTCCGGAGATCAATACGAATTGAGTGTGAATCGGCTTTAGAAGAAAATGAGAGTTTTTTTTTTGTACGAATTGATCCCCGAACTTATTTTTCTTTATTTATTTGAATAGGGGCATCATGTGAGTTTTTTGGTCTACTGAACCGGCTATTACAGGTTGACAGAGACTAAAAGAGCATGTCATATCCTAGTTTAGGGACCCATAAAGTCCGACAAAAACTTTAGAGACTCAATGGGTAAACCCTAGAAAGTTCGTAGGGCATTTGTGTCATTTTCCCTTTCTAGTTTTATCAAATGAAATCCAATATTCAAATAATATATTTTTTTAATCAATGATAATATACCCGACTAACCGACGTCCTAAATATCTTATTATTAGTTTTGAATTATACAAAAATAAACGTAAATGATATATAATACGGGCGTGTTTGACACGAAACGTTTGACATCTTTAAGCTTTTAGCGTTTGACATAACACTTTATTTGAACAAAAAGTCTTGTTTGACTCTACAAACTCTTAGTGTTTAGTTTAAACAAAACGCTCCAAATCTAAAACTATCTCACGTAGCGTTTAACAAAACGTTACCACCTACATGTTACCCGCTACATACTAGTTTTGTCGAACACGCCCTATATTTTTTTCACAAAGTTTCAATCCTTTGGCTAACCACACATCGCCACACATTCTATCCTGAACCGATGGATCAAGATTACTGACATGCATTACCTGGTAAGGTAAAGAACGGGTGGTTATCAAAGAATATAATAATGAAAAATTAATTATATAATAGTCTCTTATAAAATTATATTATTATAATGGTTGTTATTTTAAATTATAAATTTAATCACAACTTATAATATGGATACAACTGTTGTTGGATAGGTGCACACCCGGTGCACGATGGACGATAATGTAACCTGCTTTGTTCTTTTTGACAGGTTGTGATTTGATTAGTTATGCGTTCGTGAATCTTGTCTGACATGTTATTACAAAACCATGGTGAGACGATGCTAGATGTTTTTTTCATACTTATACATTTTTTATAATATCATTAAGTTCTCTATTTTTCTGTTTGTATTTTATATTATTGACCATGTATATTTTCCTATTAATATTGGTCATTGTCGTTGGATAATAGACAATCTATAACTCGACAACATGACTTGAAATATACAACGGTAGTTTTGCTCCGGAAGATAGGTTTTAGAGGCTTAAATGTGAAGGGAAATTTGAGAAATTTCAAAATGAAGTTGTGACAACTCTAGATGACATTGACTATTGAGGAATGCATGCTTGTCGCGACGACGTATCGTCATTAATTTTGTTTTGGTTGAGGGGTTGTCTCAACAAACAAACATGACCCTCAGGAGGTTAGTGCTTCTTTATTCGAATGTTTTTAGAGCAATTGCTATCGGGTCATCATTTGATTATACCTATCGCATCACAAACAACCGTTACGACTTTTCGTTAAAAGATGACTTGTATTTATAGGAAATCTTTTGCAAATTGCTTTTAATTATATGATAGATTATTGTATCTAACATTTATATGCCTAACACTTATTTGTAATGTATATTTGGGTTGATTACTTTTTATAGCATTTATGTGTATAGCACTCATGAATGATACTAATGTGTATTTTCATTACTTCAATTAAAACTATACAAAACGATATAATAACATTGAAAATCTATTGTCTTGATTACAAACTTAATTTTCGGGCAATATATCAGTAAATTATAGTGGATACATTACTTTTTTCGCGACCAATAAAAAATCTTCTAACTCTAACAACATCTATAAGATGGTCTCATTCTGCGTCGAGCATGTCAATCTCCGCATCTACACCGCCGAAGCATGTCAATCTCTGCATTTTGCCACTTTTAGTTTTTTCTTATTATGAACTACCTATTCTTTTCTTTCCATTCACATATTTTGAGAGAACGTCTCGTGTTCATTAAGTATCATGTATCCGACTATTTTCTAATCCTTTTGGTTTCCTTATTCAGCTTGCATCATTGCTTTGAATATATAATCGAGCATCTCAGCTAGTAGCGGTTGATTATGGTCACCATAAAATGAGTTTATATCAAAACAAATATAACAATCTTCTTTTTCATTATGTCAAACACCAACTTCAAACGAACTCATTCTATAGTGATTAAAAACATTACGTTTATAACATTTTTGTATAACACCAGAGAACTTGTAGTTTATAGATATCAAGTGTGTTGGAAATATGCTCATCTCTAAGTGGTGAAGGGTTCGAGTCATGTAATGGATAGAAAATGTAGATCATGAGTAGGTTAAGTGTGTACTTTAAAAAATATTTTATATAATATTCAAATAAGATGGTAAGTGATAATTAAATATTGTTAATTGAATTCATATGCAGATGACAAATGACTTTTGTGAAATGGTCATTTTTGCTGCGGATAGCCTACTAATTTAAGCTATTTTTTACTATTTCAAAAAAATGTATAATAAGATTAGAATATTTGTCTCTTTTTCTACCGTATATAATCATATGTAGTATGTTACAGTTGAAGAAAAAACACCGAGAGATACCGAAATAGAAAAAAGAATAAAAAAATATAAATGATCGAAATAATGGGAGTTTGACGTGAAAGGCCGAGACGGAAGGGGTGCTCGGAGTGTGCTAATAAAAATCAAATCTAACATAAACATCGCCAACTTGGCCGAAGCTTTCTTGTACTTCCGACTTCCGACTTCCGACACCGACCGAGGAGTCGAAGATTTAGTCCTCATACTCCATTCCATTCCGGCAACTCCTCTCATATCACCGTTTCCTGTTTCTTGTGTTTGATTATTGGAGGGATGGGAGGCACTCAGAAGAGCTACACCACTAATCCAAATGATTACAAGCTTTTAGAAGAAGTAGGTTACGGCGCCAGCGCCACCGTATACAGAGCGATCTATCTCCCCACCAATGATGTCATCGCCGTTAAGAGCTTGGATCTCGATCGCATCAACAGCAATCTGGTAATTCCATTGCCCTAACTTCTCTTGCTGTCTTGTTTCCTTTTCTGATTAGGGGTTGCTGATTCAGCTATCCAGCCACCAAATGAAAAAAGGGCATTTTTGCTTCTTTTTTTATTCAGTTGAAATTGAATTTGTTTCCGATTTTTGGCTTGTTATCCTAGTTAAATGTACAAATAGGGATCGACTTCTTACGAATTTAACATCATCATACATCTACTTGTAATGTTCTTTTTTTTTTTTTTTTACAAACTTCAGTGCGATCACCTTGAAAAGCGTTATAATTGACATCGATCTTGGAGTTGAAACTTGGCCCCTTTGACATGAGAAGTCAAACCACATCCCCTTCTTCTGGAAGGGGGAAAATTCTTAATCTTGTGAAAAATCGTACCTTTTCGATTTACTATACCCTGGTAGAGATCAAAAGGCAGTGTTACGAAGTTCTATCTGTGATCTGTCTATTACATGGCCCCTTCATTTGTGCAAACTATAGAAACTTTCTTTTGAGTTTATTTGTGGACATGAGCACCAACTGCATAAAAGATAGCCCTAACAGAACAGGCTTGATTACAGTATTAGGTTGAGACCAGTTGGCTTGCCAACACAACTTTAGGCATGTTCAAGTATGGTGCCAAATTTTTAAATGTTTTGATAAGCACTCAATGTGAAGTCAGCATAGAATTTATGACAAGCTCATCCTACATCAATACAAAATCAAAAGTTTGAGCACCTTATAGTCTTTAAGCTGCTAGCTACTAAATACTAACAACTCCAAAGTCCAACTATGGTTGTAACTTGATTTAGAGGTTATTGGACTGTATGCTACTCTAGGATTGGGCTTTACAAAATGATGATTGTTTTTGTTTTGTTGCATTCATAATGCCTTTTGATCGTCTTGAAAAATGTTAAATGCTTACTAGTCGACTTTTATCATGTAGCAGCTATATTGGTTGTGATTAAACAAACCTAGGTCTTCTAAATTCTGGCCAAATAAGTATTAATGCATTTTCTTTAAATGACAATAGATATATAAAAGCATGTTGATTTACTCGCCATGCCCATGCTGTTATGGATAATTTTATTATGATATTGTTTGGGCATCAACTTCCACAACCTCTCTTTTTTATATGGTAGATACAAAATGATACCTTTGACTTTTGCTACATGAAAACAACATGATAAAATCATCAATTAAATGCAAAGTTTTTAGATATCATACCTAGACCATTTTGGATAAGATGATAAATGCAAACTCATCAAAGTAAGCAATATTAATTATCTTCAAGTTGTCATCATCAATGACAATTGACCTGTTTTTCTTTTGTTTTCCAAACATTTTTTCAATTCCCTGGCTGACATCATATAAAAAACACATCTGCAAAAAATTCATGATTGAATCTTAGGGTTTAATATGGTGATATGATAACTACAGGATGATATTCGAAGGGAAGCACAAACAATGAGTTTGATAGATCACCCAAATGTGATAAGGGCATTTTGTTCATTTGTTGTGAAGCAAAAACCTTGGGTGGTGATGCCATTCATGGCTGACGGTTCTTGTCTACATCTGATGAAAACAGCATATCCAGATGGATTTGAAGAGTCTGCTATTTCTTCTATCCTTAAAGAGACTCTCAAGGCATTGGTCTATTTGCTCACCATGGTCACATCCACCGTGATGTTAAGGTCACTAAAATCCACCGTGATGTTAAGGTCACTAAAATCTTTCTCTTTACATGCTATTCTTGTTCTTGTATAAATAAATAAATAATTTGTTATTTGTTTCTTTAAGGCTGGAAATATACTTCTTGACACTAATGGAGTGATAAAGCTTGGGGATTTTGGTGTCAGCTTGTATGTTTGATAGAGGTGATAGACAACGTTCCAGAAATACTTTTGTAGGAACTCCTTGCTGGTTCGTACAAGTCAAACTTCCTTTTTTTTTTTAATCTGGTCAAACCATTTTTCATCACTTTTCACCTTAATATATTATTATTATTAATTAATGCTTTTTACAGGATGGCACCTGAAGTTTTGCAGCCTGGAAGCGGATATGATTTCAAGTCAGTGTTTTTCTTTTTCTTCCTTAATAATAGGAATTTATATTATATATTATTTTTAAATAAATAAAAAAAAACAATGTCATTTATCTGTTATTTACAGGGCTGACATTTGGTCATTGGAATTACTGCACTTGAGCTGGCTCATGGTCATGCCCCTTTCTCAAAGTACCCTCCAATGAAGGTTGGTGTTTTTGATTATTTTATTTTTTTTTATAATTTTCTTCACATATTTAATTCTACTATGTTTTTTGTGTGGCAACAGGTCCTGTTGATGACCATTCAAAATGCGCCACCTGGACTTGATTACGACCGGGATAAACGGTTTTCTAAGGTAAGATTTTTTCTCTTCTTATTTCACATGTTGTTTTACAATTACATTGATGAGTAATAATAAATAAGTTGGATTTGTGAAAAAAACAACAGTCTTTAAAGAAATGGTGGCAATTTTGTTTGGTGAAAGATCAAACAAAAAGGCCAACTGCTGAGAAGTTGTTAAAACATTCTTTTTTAAGCAAGCTAAAGCTCCAGAACTCTCTGTCAAGAAACTATTTGGTGACTTGCCACCACTTTGGCATCGTGTCAAAGCCCTCCAGGTATGCATCCACCTTCAATCTTCAATCTCTTATTATTCTTTATAAAACTTTATTTTCACATTTATTTATATATATAATTCATAAATATCTATCTGCAGCTAAAAGATGCTGCCCAACTAGCACTTAAAAAGATGCCTTCAGCCGAGCAAGAAGCCATATCACATGTTAGAACCATTATTTATTTATTTTTTAATTTTTTTAGTATAGTTTTTTGTGTGTCTAATTCTTTTTTCTTGTTTATGATGATAATAAACAGAGCGAGTATCAGCGAGGTGTTAGTGCTTGGAATTTTGACCTTGAAGAATTAAAATTCAGAGCATCCTTGGTATTCATCTGATCATAGATCTTGTTTTTTTTTTTTTTCAATTGACATTCTTTTTGGTAACTGTTTACCATGGCATTTGCTTTTTGTATTAAATAATCGACTGTAACTGAATTGTTCAATTTTGTATTCACCGGAGGTGCAAGATGATGACGAAATTCAAGATATCAAGGACCATGATGTAAATTCAACTTCATTTGATAATAATGTAAGAATATACATATATTTTAAAATAGAGATTATCCAAACTTGGAATATTAACTTTTCTCTGTTACAGGAAGCATCCAATTCGAAGGCTGCTACTATTGAGAAAATTCCACAAGCGAGATTGAATCTAGGTCAATATTTATTGTGCAAGTTTTATTTACCAATTATTCTTAATGTTGTTGTTCTTTTTATATTATAGTCTTTAATGTTTAACTGTTGTTTTTCCTTCAGTGATGAAGTTGTTGTCCCATCTGAATCCTTAAGCAATAAAGAAAGCAATCTGCCAGAAATTGATGATAAAGGAAGTATTATTGTTGAAGAAAAAAACAGAAAAGAAACAGAGAAACCACAAGCAGATAAAGAAGCAGTAGTAGTAGCACAGGCTAAAAATAGAATTTTAACAACAGGAACAGGACGAAATCGCCAAACACAGAGTGGACCTCTTGTGGCTGCTGCAGTCTTGAATCATTCAAAGTCTGACAGGACTCGTACTTTAGAAAGGTTTATTTATATCTTTTCTTTCATTTTTTTTTGCTTATATTTGTAAATATTATATTTTCCTGATTTCATTGTTGTTATTCACACTCAGATCTGAAACTGAAAGCTCACAAGCTGTTGATAAAGTCCATCATCAAGTAAGAGAGCTCCCAGTTTTAGTGGTCCTTTAAACCCTCCAAACCGAGCTTCTGGAAACAGTTTGTCAGCTCCAATTAAACCATCTGGAGGTATTTTTTTTATTCATTTCAACTTCAATGAAACCCCCCTTTTTTTCTTTTTCTTTTAATATATATATTTTTTAACTTGCACAGGATACAGGGATTCTTTGGATGATAAGTCAAAAGCAAATTTAGTACAAATAAAAGGACGATTTTCTGTGACATCAGAAGACCTAGATCTTGTAAAGGATATTCCATTATGTACAGTTCCTCGAAGGTCCCCCCAGGTAAAATTCCATATTTCTAAATAAGTAATTTTTTTTTTAATTTAATGGCATTTGTGATTCATTATTATTTAATATATAGGATACATTACTGAGGAAGTCTGCGAGTGTAGGAGAGTGGATATTTGATTCAAAACAGGTTTTTTTTTCCTTTTTGGCTTATTTTGTATACTTTCATGCATTGATGCAAAATCATACATTTCTGATTTTTTTTTTTTTGGCAGCCTACACCTAGGGAGATGAATAGCAGTTCTGTTCCTGTACATAACAATTTACCTGCATCAGTTCTCATGCCCCACCTTCAAAACCTCTTTCAGCAGACATCACTTCAACAGGTAAACTAAACTATGCTTAACTTAAAAAAAAATCATCAACCCTTTTTAATTTTTAATGGTGTTCTTTCTCCAGGATCTTATCTTGAATCGGTTGAATAGCTTGCAACCAGCTGAGGTAGCAGCAGAAGGTGAGTTAAAATCTCCATTAGTATATAATAAACAATAAAAAAAAAAATCAATGAAAGTATGTTGCTATTTCTTTTGTTTAACTAAACTTATGTTGTCTGATTGTATTTCAGCTTCTCAAAATGGGAAATTGCCCCCATTGCCTCGCAGCTCTGAGAACAATGGAGCTGTATGTTCATCCTTTCTTGTTTATTATGCATTACTACTTTATGTTCTTTGAAATAATCAATTAAGCATCTCAAAGGTCCATAAACATAAATGTTAATTTTTAAATGGTAATTATTTTCAGGTTGAAATTCTGATAGAGAACGTTGCTGCTTACCAAGGTTTCTGAGCTACAATCCAGGTTGTTATGTGTGACTCAATAGAAACTGGTTCCAGTTTTTTCTTTTTTCCCTTTTTTTTTATATGTTATGTCTGGGAAGTAATTTAATTTATCTTTTTTATTTTTGTTATACAGGTTAACAGTCTTGACCGAGGAATTGACTGCCGAAAAGTCAAAATACGTACAGGTGAGTTGACCGAGATCTTGAAATTTAATTTATATTAAAAATTAAAAAAAAATAATAAGAGAGTTAGTTAACCTTGTTCTGGTTTCAGTTACAACAGCGAGTTGATGCTATTATTACAAACCAGGAGGATGGCCAGAAAGGTGAAGCTGATGCTTCTTAATATCCACCTGGAAAATACAACTCATATAATGCTTGCTTGCTGTGTATATTCTGGTAATTAAAAAAAAAAAAAATTGTTCATTCTCTTTTTATTCAGTTTTCATATAACGGTGGGTGTTTTATATTTAAAATGGAAAACAGTGGAGATGGTGATGAAGAACAGTTTGGATGATGTGTAATAAGTTTTTGAATAGCAATGATATGATAATGATGATTTCTTCCTCAAGCCTCAAGTTGAAATGCAAAAAAGCAAAAGGTAGTCAGGAAACCATTTCTTTCATTCATTTTTCCGTGTAAAAGACAAACAGAGAAAGAAGCGCATGGATTTCATTCTTGAAGCTCATCCCATTCACCATTCTCATTATATTAATATTTATTATTATGTATGTTTATGTTAATGTGTTCCATGTTGTAGCCACAAACCCTGTAATTTCTCAACTAATGTTCACATCATCATAAGTTTTGTTGTATTTTGGGATTTTCTGTAAACTCTTATATATAGCACAAATGTTGAATATCACAATAAAACGTAAGTAATTTGTGTTTATTATTGCGTTTATCTGCTGTGTCTTTGTGTATGCAATAATGTATAAAAAGAGTGAATTGTTCTTGGCATCGAGTTTTATGTTCAAGTTGAC